ATTAAGGATATGGGCCTGTAGTTTTCTTTTTGTATCTTTATCTGCTTTGGATATTAGGGTAATGCTGTCTTCATACAAGGAGTTTTGGAGTTCTCCCTATTCCTATGTTTTTTAATAATTTAAGCAATATTGATTGTAAATCTTCTTTGAATGTATGGTAGAATTCTGCTGTGAATCCATCTTGGCCTGGGCTTTGTTTAGTTAGTAGGTTTTGTATTACTGTTTCAAATTCTTTATTTGTTATGGGTCTGTTTAAGATGTTAATCTCTTCTCATTTTAATGTTGGTTGTGACCATGATTTTAGAAATTCACCAATTTCTTTTAGGTTTTTCAAACAATGGTTGGGAATTTTTGGTGCCTGTGGATGTTTCCTCTTTTGTCTCTGATTTTGGTGATTTGGATTTGCTCTTTCTTTCTTTTGGTTAACTAGGCTAAAAGTCTATCTTGTTTAATCTTTCAAAGAACCAGATCTTAAATCACTGAATTTTTTGTATTATTTCCTTGTTTCTATTTTGTTCATTTATGCTGATTTTTAATATTTATTCTTCTCTACTAGGTTTTAGTTTGGTTTATTTTTGTCTTTCCAGAGTCTTGAGTTGTGCTGTTAAGTGATTTACATGTGCTAATTCTGATTTCTTAATATAGGCACTAAGAGATATAAACTTCCCTCTTAGGACTGCTTTTAAAGTGTCCCAGAAGTTTTGTTATGTTATATTCTAATTTTCATTTAGTCAGGAAAACTTTTATTTCTTTCTAAATTTCTTCTTTGACCCATTCATCACTTCAGGATTGTGTTGTTTAATCTCCATGAGTTCATGTAGTTACTAAAGCTTCTTTTGCTGTTGATTATAAGCTTTATTGCACTATGGTCTGATAGAATTCATGGAATAATTTTTAAATTTTTGTGTTTGTTGAGTATTGTTTGTGTTCCAGAATATGGTCAATTTTTAGAAATATTGCATTAGTTGATGAGTAGAAAGTGTATTCTTTGGTGCATGGGTGTAATATTCTTTAGATATGTTAGACCCATTTCATGTAAGATGTCATCTAATTGAGATGCCTCTCTGTTTATCTTTTGTCCACTTCACCCATCTATTGAAGATAATGGGGTATTGAATTCCCCTACTATTACTAACTGGGTTTTTTCTGTGTTTTATAGTCCTGGAAGGGTGTTTTTATGAAATTGGATGCTACAGAGTTTGGTGCATATATGCTCAGGATTATAATATCTTCTTGATTGATTGTTCCTTTCATGAGAATTAACTGACCCTCTTTATCTCTTCAGATGAGTTTTAATTTGAAGTCTACTTTGTCATATGTTAGAATTTCTGCACCTGCTTGCTTCTTACAGCCCTTTGTTTGGAATATTTTTTCCTATCTTTTAACACTATGGTAGTGTCTGTCTTTGAGGTTGAGATGAATTTCTGGAAGACAAAAAATAAATGTGTTTCAATGTTGATCAATTCCACTAGCTGGTGTCTTTTGACAGGGGAGTTGAGGCCATTGATATTTATTTTTATTACTGAATGATGTGCACTGCATACTGTCATTTTAATAGGTTTGTGTTCTTGGTCTGATTTTTTTGTTTCTATAATTATACCTTCCTTTGTTTTCTTTCTGTAGCCTCTTGCGTATATTCATTCTTTTCTTCAGTCCTTTGTATTGCTTCAAGTGTTCTCTATAGGCCTGGTTTGGTGAACATGAATTCTTTTAGCCTATTCATATCCTGAAAAAAATTTCCATTCCCTTTCAACTATAATAGATAATTTTGCTGGATAAAGTGTTCAGAGATGCCATCTATGGTCATTTAGAGTTGGGAATACTTTGGTCCAGACTCTTCTGGCTTTCATAGTTTGCATTGAAAAGTCAGCTGCAATTCTGATGGGTTTTCCTGTATACTTAATGTTGTTTTCCTCTAGCAGCTTTCAGTACCCTCACTTGGATCTGTACATTTAATATTTTTACTATGATGTGTCATGTGAAATTTCTGTTCTAGTCATGTCTAATTGGTGTTCTACGTGCTTCTTAAATCTCCATAGGTGTCTTTCTTTAATTTAGGAAAGTTTTCTTCTATAATCCTGTTGAAGATCTGTTCAGTGCTATTAGCCTGAGATTCTTCTCCTTCCTATATGCCTATAATTCATAGATTTTGTCTTTTCATGTTGTTCTGCATTTCCTGAGTACTCCATTACTTTGTTTTTTAAATATTACACACTCTTTGCTTAAGGTGTCCAGATCTTCAGCTTTGCCATCCAGTCTTGACATTCCATTTTCCATTTCATTCATTATACTTGTGGTGCTTTCTGCTGTTGTTTCCAAACGGCTTATTGAGTTTTTCAATCACACGTCATTTCTGTTTGGGTTTTCTTTACTATTTCTATCTCTTTGAGAATTCACGTTTTAAGTCATGAATTATTTGAGATGTTTTATTAAGCCACATATTTGTGTATTCTTGGACTTCCAACAAAAGTTATGCCTCTCCTCTTTGAGTTCTTTGATTTGTTTGTCTATGTTTTCTTTCAGCTCTTTGATCATGTTTATCATTGTTCTTTCAAATTCTACATGCTAGGGTTCCTCAGGTTGTTTCTCACTATACTGCACTTCCGTAGGACTACTGGGTTTTGTTGGGGACCTAGTCTCTTAGTTTTTCTTATTACTTGTGTTCTTGCACTGCTATTTGCATTTCAGTCATTCTATTTGTGAGGCTTTCTCCTGTTGTTTCTAATTGATTTGTTGAGTTTTTAATCCCATGTTCATTTCCATTTTGGTTTTCTTATCTCTTTTGTGAATTCACTTTTCAAGTCATGAATTGTTTTTACTATTTCATTAAGCTGCATGTTTGTACATTCTTGGGCTTCCATCACAAGCTTATGCCTGTCCTCTTTGAGTTGTTTGTGTTTTCTTTATGTTCTTTGATGATGTTTATGATTGTTCCTTTAAATTCTGCATCCTGGAGTTCCACAGAATGGTTCTCATTGTAGTGAGTTTCTGTAGGACTAGTGGGTTTTGCTGGGGACATATTGTCTTGGTTTTTCATATTGTTTGTGCTTTTGCATTGCCATTTGGGCATATGGATATTCTTTGTTGGTTATGTGTCCAGTAGGAACTTCTACTCTGCTTTTGTTTAATTTAATTTTGGTTCTGTTGTTTATGTAGCTTGGTTACTTTTTGTTCAACTATGGAAAATAAATTGGTGCATGTTTCAGATTCTTGCAGGGTAATAGAATGATCTGAGTGGTTGGTGGGACATGGTAATAGGTAGAACTGTTAAGTTAGTAGAAGGCCTTGTCTGATCAAGAGCCAGTGGAGTCTATGCTAGGGAGTTTGGCTTTTCTGTGTTAGGAAGCCTGAGCTCTGAGACAGAGGAATTGGAGCCCATCTGAGTCCAAGCATTCCAGGGAAAGGGTGAGGGTGGAAGAGAGGCTGGAATAGAGATGTGGTAGGTGAGATCTGACTTACCAGAGTCCTAGGTGGCCAGGTCTGTCAGTCTGATGGGGAGCCAGGGAATATGGAGGTAGGGGGAACTCCTGTGGAGCTACTTAGCAATCTATGCTACAGTGTTTAGCTACTCTGGGTTAGGAAGCTAGTCCAGAGATCTGAGGCATAGTAACTGGAGCCTGCCTGGTTCTAAGGCTGTCAGGGAAAGGATGGGAGTTGATGAGAGGAATGGAATAGGGATGAAGTATGAAGTGAGTAGAATCTGACTTAACAGAGTAAAAGGTGGGAAGGTCTGCCTGGCTGATATGAAGCCAAGGAAGATGGGTGTAGGAGTACCACATGAGGAGGGATTTAGCAATCTATGTTAGAGTGTTTAGCTAGTCTGGGTTAGGGCACTAGTTCAGAGATCTGAGGCAAGGAAATTGGAGCCTTCCTTGGTCCACAGCTTGCAGGAGAAAGTGTTGGGATGTTTGAGAGGAACAGAACAGAAATAAGGTGGGCATAATCTGGCTTACCAGAGTCCTAGGTGGGCAGGTCCGTCCAGCTGATCTGGTGCCAGGGAAGATTGAAGTTGGGAAACCACCTGAGGAGGAACTTAGCAATCTATGCTACAGCATTTAGCTCTTCTGAATTAGGAAGCTAGTCCAGAGATCTGAGGTGGAGGAATTGGAGCCTGCCTAGGTCCAAGTCTGGCAAGCTCTAATAATTTCTTTCTTAGAACCCACAGAACAAGAAAGCCAGATCTCAAATAAAAATGTCTAAGGCCCTTCTGGTAAGCCTGTGAACCAGTACAGAATAATAAGCAATGTATTTGTTCATAATTCTACACTGCAAAAGCACAGTATTCAAGATCCTTCGTGTTGCCTCCTGTAGAAGTATGAGCTAATATTACATTATGACTTCTCTAAGGTCAAATTTGTCCATAGATGAGCCTTATATTTCCCTCCAGAATCTTACAAATGGACATACCAACTATGTTATGCTCCACATTGATTTATAATGAAATAATTCATTAACCGTAAAATACATCTAGACTGGGAGGTAAGACATTAAACATATTGATGTATGCCATAGCTTCCCTAAGTTTTTGATTCTTATAACTCTAAACAACCCATGTTCTGAGTTTCCATATCTCCTTAAAAGATGCCTTTGATGAACTAAATATTGCCCACTTGACTCAAATTCTTAGTTTCCTGTACTTCCCAAGAGAGTCACACACGTCTTTTACCAATCCACATGTGCTTTGGAGACATTTAAGATCTGATTTGCAACGAGGCAACTATGAACAATGAAAATATATTAACACAGCTTCAAAAGATTTTAATCAAATTATGTTTAATATTAATCAACTTATCCTTTTAATTAAAAGAATAATTTTGTTTTATTAAAGATAACATACTATGATCCGGTTACTTTTACATAATTGAAAATGGAACCACATTTATTACAGAGCTACTCACTTCCTAGTATATAGACGTTAATCACAGATACTCACTTTCCTTTTATTATTCCATCTATGAAATACTCAGACTCTATCAAGTCCTACGAAATAACAGAAGTTTCTATGAAAATATTTTCCTACAAAGTCGTTTCTTCAGAGCAGCTTTAATCTCATTATTCCTCAGATTGTAAATAATGGGGTTCAACATGGGGATTACCACCATGTAGAACACAGATACAACCTTGTTCTGGTCAGTGGAGTAGCTGGACTTGGGCATGACGTAAGTGAATGTGACAGTCCCATAGAACAGTGTGACAGCAGTGAGGTGGGAGGTGCAGGTAGAGAATGCCTTCTGGCGGCCATCAGTGGAAGGCATCTTCAAGATGGTGATGAGAATGTAAATGTAGGAGACACCTATGACAGACACTGTGATCACAATGATAGTGCTAACAGAAATAGTGGTAAGAACTATGCAGACACTGTCATCAGAACAGGAGAGTTCAACTAATGGAGGAAAATCACAGAAAAAATGATTGATTATATTTGGTCCACAGAAGAGAAAAGAAAAGAAAGAATAGGTGTAAGAGGAAGCATGAAGAAAACCACCCATATAAGCTCCTATAACCAGCTGAACACAGACTCTTGTAGACATTTTGGTTGAATAGAGTAATGGACTACAGATTGCCATGAAGCGATCATAAGCCATGACAGCTAGAATGACGCACTCAGTTGATCCAAAGAAAGTACTTGTGCCAAGCTGGATGCCACACCTAAGGTAGGAGATGGTATTCCTGTCCACCAGGAAGTTGGCAAGCATTTTGGGAGTGACAGAAGAGGAAATGCCTATATCAGCAAAAGCCAAGTGACTCAGAAAAAAGTACATGGGGTGATGGAGCTGAGGAGAGAGTCTGATTAAGAGGATTGTGCTGAGGTTTCCAGACATGGTCATCAGGTAGATACACAGGATGATGATGAAGAGGATGACTCGAAGGACTGGGTCATCTGTTAAACCCAATAAAGTGAACTCTGTCACTACAGTGTAGTTCCCATTCACCAGGAAAGCCATGGGAAGGAGTAGCTTCTGCCAGGACAAAGATGTGACAAAGACATTACATGAATGGATTTATAACCCCGAGATCATTTTCATCAACACATGGAGGTTATCACTAATAATATATCATTCAAAAAATTTGGACTAATAATTGAGGTTTTATTAAAGACTTTCAATGTGCATGTATGTGTGTATGTGTGTGTGTGTGTGTATACAAATAACTTGACTTAAAACTTAAAAACAATTGCCAGAAATTTCTTTGTATCTTTGGTCTGCACTTTTTCGGTGCTTTTTTTGTCTGAGTATGAATTTTATTATATATATATATATATATATGTGATGGAGAAATATATATAGCTTTTGTGTGTAATTTTCACTCCCACCAGCATTGTACAGTGCTTTCCCATTTTCCCTGTGTGCCCAACACTTTTTATTCCTATCTTTAGATATAAGCCATCCTAACTTGAATGAAATGGTATCTTATTGTGACTATGATTTGGATTTATCTGATAGTTGTCTGGTTATGGGTGATGTTGACATTTTGTTGCAAATTTTGTTGAAATTTGTGTGTTTTATACAGAACATCTTAATCACGTTTTTGCACTTTTTTAAGTATTCTTTTTTTATTTTTTTAGAAGAAGCATATAATACAGCTTTAACATAATAACAGTTTCCAGAACAAAGATACATCTCTTTCAAGGTGGCTATAAAATTTTTAGGTTCACTGTTGAATTAATACAGTTATACAATATTGAACTCAGCATAAGCCCTGTAAGACATAAAATTGAATGAGTTTCTAACCTTTCATATATAGCAAAATATATCTATGTGGTTTTATAGCTAAAGATTTTTAAAGTATGAGACATGTACATAAGTACTTATTGTATCACAAAGGATTTAAGTGCATGTGTACTGAAGATTCAAGTAATTGTAAACCTCTATTACATGCTGACTAAATCTACATCATCAGATTTAAAATTATACATATATATATATATATATCTTTCAATTACAAGAATTAGTATTAAGTACTTTTATTATTTACATTTTTCTGAGAATGTAGTTTGACAATTTTAAGCAACTTAAGACTTCATTAGAAGTATTGGATTTAGGACATGAATCCCAGGCATATTAATCTCAACATAATCTTTTAGTAAGTATATTATTTCTGAAAGCGTCACAATAAATTTGAGAGAATATATAAATTTGACACAGAAAGCAGGGTCCCTTTTCACCATTCTGATGGTTAATATGTAAAAGAAGAGTTTCATTAGTGACATGGTTCATAAAATCTAATGGTTAAGCAAGACCATATTTTAACCAATTCTTAAGGATATAAATGAATTTTCTTACTGGAATTTGAAAGAAATTGAAAAAATACACACTAAACTACAAATGGAATTTTCTATTATAAATTTTTTTAATATTGTAAATATTTAAACTGTTGATTTATCAAGACATTTGAAATATTAATCAAATTACAATGTAAACCATGAATAATCTTTAGAACATTATTATTCATGCTTGTGTATTCAGAACTCCAAAACATAACAATATTTTCTAACTGGAATGTGATGGAACATGGCTTTCAACCCAGGTTACTGGTGAATAAATACTCAACCTAAAAAGTTAATGAGTGTACCTAGGTCCATCCAGCTCGGGGCTGCATTCACTTCATCTCACAGGATTTTTGACATTTTAGCCTATGTTTGTTCAAAATATCTGATGCTTGTGATGCTAGAAAATTTAGTTAATAATCAGAGTGTATTTTTCAATATGATATTACTGACAGTAAGACATCACAGAATTATTTGGCTGAGTAGCAAGCTTATATACCATTAAAGACCATGTTTGATTCTGGTTTTATCAATGGATAATAAGATGCATCTATTTCAACATTGGCTGAGTTATGCCTGAACACTCATGGGATTTGAATATGGAAATATAAGTTGATTTAAATGAAGTTTTTTGTCTATCTGATTTCTGGAATCCACATGACTTATTTATCAACTGTGGTTTATAAACTCAGGCACATTTTCAAAAAATAAGTATTCAACAAGTTAAAAATCAAATCAATAAACCATTTTTCCCACATACATCATCATCTTACCTCTTTAAATACAAATCATTGCAAAGTATAAAAAGTCAAGATTGTTATGACTTTATAGCTGCTAAGCTCTCTCCTCCTACCACTGTTTATCACTGAGGATCTCTGAGGATCTCACTGTTTATCTCTGAAGAAGGTCCGGATTCAAGTGTGAATTCAAATCACCAGGGATCATTAGCTCATTATCAAGTGAATACTGAACAGTCCTTTCCACACAAACACATTTGCTTTTTAAGGAGTCTGTCAATGTAAAGTGATATATTTTTTTTCTTTTTATGGAGTAATTAGTGCACTTTCATTTGATAGTTACTGAAATTGTATGATAACAAATTATCTCAGGTGAATACTGATATTAAGTTCATTTGACATTTCCTGTTCGAGTATGCTAAGCCATAAACATAGGATGGAACACTTAAATTCTTTCTTTTTTCATTATTTATTTAATAACCACATGATTAGAAGAAGCATTTCATTACAGCATTAACATATTCAATAATAATTTCCAGAGCAAAGATGCATCTCCTTCAATATTGGCTGTGAATTTTTAGGTAGTTGAATTAATACAGTTATACAATATTGAACTCAGTATAAACCCTATAAGACATAAAATTGAATGAGGTTTTAACCTTAAAAAAATCTCCATTTCATTTTAAAATATACTGTTTCATACAGAAAAACTCATTTTAATGCTACTAACACTTAGATCTTTGCACGTGTCTCTAGTCTCTAAGTATTTGATTATTACTAGTCACAGTCAGTTACTTTCTGAAATCCACCTGAGTATGGATATAAAATCATTGGGTAGATTTCAATGGTAATGTGCTTCACCTCTACTAATAAACATGGAGCAGATTTTTATGCTTCTTCCTCAAATATAACTCATTTTTAAATTGTTGATTTTTTGTGTATATTTCATACAGAAAATCCCAAATAGTCTTATTCGTCTATATGCCCACATCCAAAATGGCACCCTCCCATAGTCTCCCCCCTTCCACTGGAACCCATGTACTCTAATCCCTGTTACTGTCCACTGTGTTATCAGCACCCCAGCCATTCTCCAGTGCTTGTCCATCTGCTGAATCTAGTCAGCCTATCTAGAGTTCCTTGTTTTAGGAAGATCAGCTGTTCCTCATCTAGCATTAATCAGTTGACAATATTCCTTAAGATGGATTGGGATCTTCTGCTCATTTTCCAAGTTCTATGCTGGGTTCCTGTCTGAGAGTCTCTTGGGCCACCATGGCCCACAACTCAAAGGAGAGATCTCCTCTCTGGCATTGTTTCTTATTATGTAGCTTTTATGTATACACATGGACTCTTTTTCTTAATATTTTGTTTATTATTTATATTTTATGTGTGTGAGTATGTTGCCTGCATGTATGTGAGTGCACCTGTGTCATGCAATACTGAAGAGGTCAGAAGAGTGCTTTGGATTCCCTGGAACTGGAGTTAAGAACGGTTCATAGCTGCCATGTAGGTGCTGGGAATCGAACCTGGGTCCCCTGCAAGAGCAGTCACTGCTCTTAACCACTGAGCCATCTCTCCAGCCCCACACATGGACCCTTAAAGAAGTATATTGATCACTTTAATCTCTGCTTATACTTTTTGGGGAGTGTTTAAGACCATACAGTTGGCCCAGATAAACCAATTTATTTTTACTCTTAAAATCATTTGATGTTCTGTTCCTCAGGGATCACATGAGCTTGGGAGGTGCCTCTGAGTCCCTTCTTTTATCTGTTCCATCTATGTGAAGATAAGTCAAAGATCCTACTCAACCATGGCTAGCTTCACTTGGAAGCATGGAGGAAATGTTTCCTTTGTGTTTACCCTCCTCTTTGTAGACTGGAAACTAGTTCAAATCCATTTGCTGAGGTCTCCACGGCCTCCTTGATCAAGAGGACAGGTAACACACCGCAGTTACAGGACATTTTGAGAGATGCTCATAGTCTCCTGGAGCTTAGTCAACCTAGGAGGGCAAAGAGCAAAAACCGTCCTTTATGTCCCTCTGACCAAATTAGTATGGGCCTCAAAGTATGACTGTTAGACATCCAAAAACGTTAGTTCCACCAGTCTGGTAGTTTTAATTACCATATGCTATGTATATAAAGCTTGGGCAAAGACAAAACTTTCTCAAATAAACTTTGCCCAGACATGTATTATATTCCTTGAGCTAGTTGTATGTATAATTTGTCAGTAGGTTGTTCGATTAACATGGTTCCCTCTGGTTTTTTAAAACTAGCTAGACAGTATTTAACTCTCGCATTTTCTAACCCTTCCACCATGGTTTCCCCATTTAAAATTCCCCCATTTTCCCCATTTCCTCCTTAATGATACCTGCCTCCTATGGTCCCACCTCTCTTGAGCTCCTTATTTCTCTTTAACCCCAAGATTCCTTGTATAACCCTCCCTCCCCTCCCCCTTAAAACAATCCCATTTTCATCCATATCTTCCTTATTCACACCTGTTTCCTACTGTTCTTCTCTTTCAGATTCTTTCTTTTCCTTTACCTCCCTGGTTCCTTTTCATTATCCTGGTTCCTGTAGTTATGTGTGGATACATACTCACTTATAAGGATTTGGTGCTAGGATTCACATGTGAGGGAGAACATATGTTGTGGGGGTTTTTTTTCTGAGTTCATGCTACTTCACTTAGTATAACAGTTTCTAGTTCCATCCATTTACCTACAAATTTCATAAAATCTTTCTTAACTGCTGAGTAAAACTCCATCATATAAATGAACCGCATTTTCATTATCCACTCGTCAGCTGAGGGATTGACATTTACCTGCAAATTTTATGATTTCATCTTTCTTTACTGCTGAGTAAAACTCCATCGTATAAATGAACCGCATTTTCATTATCCACTCCTCAGCTGAGGGACACTTATGTGGCTTCCATCTCTTAGCTATTGT